ACGCTTCGACGCTACCTTTTGCATTGTGATGCGACGTCAGTCACAGCTTCACACAGGTTATCATCCACACGATTTTACTGTAGCTTCGGCAAACTAGCTCTTGTTCACGCAAATCGATCCCATCAACCTTGATGAACTTTTTAATCAGACAGTATACCTGGTTCAAAATCATAGAAATACCTGTGGAATAGAAAGCTATGTGAGGCTGTACAATAAATTGGTATCTATTTGTACGGCTTTCACATCTCATTTCACACATCCCAAATTAACTTGAATCTTTGTTCTGAGCTTATAACAGCGACATTTCCACTAGCCCTTGATATGCTGAAGATGCAAAGTTTACGGAAAAAAACTTGATACACGTTCAACTAAACCCTATTGACGTACCAAAGCATGTTGACATTTATCGACGCAATCCCGATGAGCGCGAGTGTGCATGTATCGCACGATTCCGAGAAATCATGCATGAGAGAATGCAGACTTTGCCAAAGTCTGCATTTCACAATCTAGTCATCGTTGTACAGCGTCACGGATTACACAGTTTAGCAATATTAAATTTATTATAGTATATTTTCCTCAATATTAAGTATAAACGGTTTAGCGAAAGAAAAGGTGGATGACGTCGATGTGTGAAACACTAAACACATAAACGGGCCGACTGTTACTTCAACTGATGTCGCACGACTTGGCTGTCTAGCGTAGCTTTAATAGCCAGGGCAAACGGGTAATTGTATTATGGTGCCCGGTGATCATCAGTGGCTACAATGAATTAGTAATTACGTTGGTGTATGGGAGGAAAAGTAAGCTAGGTATCCATAAAGATGTTATATGTTTTTGATTTGAAGGTCCTACATTTATTCCTGGACAAGAAAATCACTCTCTCATTGGCCTTAGCATCATCATCATTAGCTATTTTTAGCTATTCGTAGCAATGAGCAAAGAACCCCTAACATATACCATGCTGCAACATACAGCCGGCTCATTGGTAGTAATAACAACAATAACATTTAGTAATGATCCCTCAAATCAAAACTATGACCAATAATCATAATACAAATCTGCCATTTGTTTGATATTTCCTATGACCAAGCTTGCCGTCGTAGGAACGGTTAGAGTCTTAATAATGTGATCTTCATCAAATATGAAAACCCATAATTCGATGATGGAAAACGTTTAAAGGTATAAAGTTTTTCATCAACTACGTGATTACTAGGTAAGTTTAGAGGTTACAATGTATGAACTGGTAGAATAGCCGGGGAACGGAAAGCTATTGTGTACGCTTCAATACGACCAAGTTTGTCTAGTAAACGAGTACTATTACACAGCAGCCAGGGTGCAATGGAAACCCACTTTGGGCAAACGGCAAGTGTTATCAATGCAGCACGACAGGTATATTGACATTATTTTCGCCGCGAAAATAGGATGACTTAAACAATAAGTTGATACACATTTTCAAACGTCATTAAAAACGCACTTATCGCTTGATGAATACTGTGTAGAAGAAAGAAGACAGGGTCATTATGTTATCGTTGAGGTAAGTTCTACGCTAGGCATCTAATCAATGATAAATTGACATTCGTTTGGCCGCTGGAAGACAAACAGTTCTTATGCGTAGACATGGGTTTTTATTCTTATTTCCTGTTTGTAGTCGAATGAACAAACGGAACGAACAATTGTGCTGTTCTTAACGCATCACAAACTTCACTATCAATATTTTATCTATTTACAATTTGCTCTGAATGGTATTTACATCTTAATTCTAGCATTGGTTCTGGGCGAGGATACTTGGTAACGATATAACGCCACGCCCCTTGCACGAGATGTATTTGTTAATGTGTCTCGTCAATCAACTGGCAAGGATTTTCTATTTAATCAACCTCCCCTGATATATCGCCGATATATAGCCGTCTCTATGGCGAACGCTACGTCAGACTATAACATCGATCGTTTTTTCTTGAGCCGTTTTGTTTGTAAAACTGTGTAACAAATCACCAGTGTTTATACAGCGACCGCACTAATTATTGCAATAAGTGTAATTTCGTCAAAAACATACAGCAATTTACTAAGGTAATAATTTCATGCATATCTGCGTGGCCGCTAGAAAATATTCTGTGCGATATGAACGTATCTCCCTACCCTAATTTTACTCGTTTCCCAATACTGTCAATATCCTGCGAAGCGGCGGGGCGGCAGCGACGACCTCACTAGATCCAAGTACTTTAGAATGATTCGAGTATTTCCGAAACGTATGAGTAATCTAGGCACCATGTGCGATTGTATGTTTGTAAAGGGGCGCTGTACAATCGTTGAATTGTATTGAGCTATCGGCACACATCTGCCTTATCGCAGCGAATAGCAGAGATTGCAATAGTGAAAACTTCTTCAGATTCATATCTCAGCTCTGCTGACAGTCTCGTGTCTGGCGTTTTCATTGGCGGCCACCGAAGAAGATCAGGCGAACTGAGCAGGCCGAAGCGTTCGTGGATTTTTGACTCGCAAACTGCTTCTTTCCACACATGCGTGTTGTTACACTTTTGAAAAGCGCGTTTTAAAAAATGGCGCCATTTTTCAAATCGATGAACATGTCGTACGGTAGCTGGGCTAAGGCGCTGCTAGCCTACGTAGATATCAATACAGCCGAGGTGTTTTTGGCAAATATCAGTAATGCGGCGGGGACATTTCTTTCTGTGCAGCAGTAACTAGATTTGAATTTCGTTGTAGGTAAAGTGGTCTGTATCACCGAGTGAGTACCAGTCGGGATAGTCATTTTGTTCGGCATATGTTTCAACGTGTTTTAGGCTTGGCCTTCATTTAGCCTGTTTAAAAGTCTAGCGTCATAGACTGTCGCAGACCCAACTGACCTAAGTTCACCTGCCTGGGTTCACTCGACATCTTAACCTGTTTACTGCCCTTTTCCGTATATTCTATTCGAATGCATATGAATATAACACTCCTCAGCACCTGTCTGTATTTCGATTAACCCACTGGCGTCGTGTTTCGCTGACGGCATATTGTTAGTAAATCGTGAGAATGAAAATCCGACAATTCGAATACATAGCCCGGACGGTATAAGTCAATTACGATAAGAGTTACCTTCAGTATTTGAGTTGTCGAATAATAACAATGATATAATATGAAATTCGACAAAAGGTGGGGGATAGCAAACAATACTAACTATATCCTGTGTTGCTTGAAATGTCCTTATTGTCTAGTGAACGCCGACACGCATCCGATACGCTGTGAATGTAAGTATTAGTGGTATCGTTTCAAATGCAAGCTATCTAAGGGGCCGTAAAACACACGAAAGGCTTAATTTTAATGGGGTGCACACAGATTTGTCTAAAAGATCAAGGACAACATCATACAGCTGTTATTAAACGGTAGCGAACTTTCTGCATAATACAACGAATGATATGGGTTCTGCAGGTAGAATTTGTAAGGTCTTTGAGGGAGTTCCAAGATTATTTTTAACTAGCTTAATTTTTACGAGGACATTTAGAATACGGCTTGGACAATCGGACTTTAACTAAAACTTAACACGCATATATTTTGAGGAACCGCCAGCGTGTTTTCTCTATCCTCCACGGTCGGGGCCACGCTTGATCTGCATTGTCTGAACCTTCTTAACAAAGGTATGAAGTATCTTGAATTCCGTGTGAAAGTTTAAGTTGAGCTAACAATAAGTGCTTTTAGATAAGCAAAAAGCAGATTATACGAATTGCTGAATTTGCGCTAGTTACAGATCAGGCATGTTCCGCCAGGCGATTATGACGTGTACTCATATGAACGTATCCAATGAGCAATGTTAATTCATAATGAAGAATCCTGCCGTTATGGTGAACATTGTCGGTCAGTTAGGTGTTACTCCTCATATTATTTTTAGTACTACTGATGAGGCAGCCAGACTGCCACGTACGCGCCATATTATATAATAGTCATTATTACTATTTTTAGCAACACTTATATAATAATGCGTAATCTCAAATTATCTTAACATTACAGTAGGATCAGTAGCAGAAAGGCTTTCTTTAACTAGTCCTGCATCGCATCGTCAGCTGGGGCAACTAGCCTGACAACTAACGTTCTTCAACAAGCTATTTTGAAATAATGATTGTTTTCGAAAGGATCTCTAGAGCTTCAGGCTGATAATATAAATACGTTACTAAGGTGTCATGCGAAAATTAAATCGAAGAACAACACAGTGGCCTATGTGAACTTCTCAGAGGACGGCTCTAGCATTCTGATTTAACAAAAAAAAAAAAAAAAATAGCCATCGCCATTCACGTAAAATGTGTAAGCCGTCCCTGACATATGTTGGTTGATGATGAGTGCTTGCCAAAGTGAAGGTCTCTCAAACAGAACTTCGAGTTCATAAGCATCCTATACTTTTCAGGTAGAAAAAGGTTTCGGCCAAGGCGTCTCGTATGCTCGCAAACACTACATATTATTATACTGATAACACTCCCACTAGCATTTCATCATAACATTAACATTACACACACGTCAATATTCCACTTTAAATATCATAATAACAATAATAATGATCACTAATTATAATAATATTCAAATGAACTTCTATGGCGCAGCGATCGATCAGACATAGTACCGGTGCGGGTTGTAATAGATGATCTACTTTAGGTCATTTGTCAAGTTTTCCTTCTGGTCAAATCGCAAGTGTTTTTTGATTCGTTCGTCTTTCCCTTGGGCGTTCAATGCGCACAATTGACCAGCTGTCAAGAAGTCCTCCATCGTCTTGCAATGAACTCGACGCAGTGTCCGTGCAAAACTGAATAACCTTTGTACGCAGGTTTGTCGTCCTGCACAGCCTTGTTGTTTGGCGTTTGGCGTCTCTTGATTGTGTGCCCAACAAATCGCACCGATCTTGCTTCTATTATACCAGTACGTCCTGCAGATATCTGTTTGGCTGTAACTTGGTTGTCTGTTGTTAATTTGTTGATCTGATATAATTGTTAGAATGATTATTATAGATAGAGGGGGGGGGGGTGGGGGATATTATCACGGTTATTATTCAGTATTATAAAATTATAAAATACTTATGGCCCACGCTTGTTGTTAGTTGGTTTTTACGAAACGACCTCCTGAAAATACTTCGTCGCTAAATCACAGCTTATTTCTACCCTTCAAGGAAAAGGAAAGCCTTTTCTATCTTTAAACGACCCAGCTTTGATTGGAACAATACGTCGCTATATGTTGGTCTACTGCCTCTGGACATGGATAATTTCTTTTAGTACAGAGGTAAATCAAGAACTCGTGTTCAAATAGGCCTTATCAGGTTTCCCACATGTCGCTAGCAGTCTTTGGCGCCGACATATTGGAGTCTCTAGCGCACATGTTCGTGTGAATAGGTAGATTGCAAGTATTTCTAATTACCTATAACGACGTTTGTTCAAGCAAATCGTTCGAGGAAACGGAATGCCAAAAAAAAGCGCATGCGGCGCTACAGAACGGAAAAAAATTTAAATGGCGCAAAACTAGATACAGAGTAATTAAATGAATGAATCGAACGAGCGTTGATTGTATCAATGTTCATCTGCCTGTTTATGTTTGCGTGATAGATGAACTTCTAAAAGGAGGTTTGCTTATTTATCGGCGTCTAAGGTTGTGTCCGCCTAGTTCAATCGTGTCTACTAGCGTCGACGCGTTAGGGTTTCCTTTTCTTGTGCTTACCTGGCTACGATTAATCATGTTTTACGGGCAACACACAATTAACCGTCTGTACTATATGATATATTAACAATATGATAACTTTCGAGTGTGGCCTACTTGGCACCCTTTCCTCCATATCCGGTATTTCCAACCCACGGGTAGACATCGGGACACGGTTGGCAAGTCTTCATGTAACGGACTCCGCCTTTGTATAGCAGTGAACACGTCGTAGGATGATGACATAATCCTGGTCGATCACTATAATTACATTGCCATGGCGTAAACGAGTTGATGTGCGAGTTAGACGTAGGATGGCGGATCCAATCGATCAGTTGCGTATTGGTGATCAGCCAGACGTCTCCCTGATATCGTGGAAGTTAATCCGCCATGTTACTATTGTAAATGAAATTTGGGCGTCGCAGATAGAATGGGATAAAGTCACCACTATAAGTGTGCCTAAATAATTAAATTAGTTCCATTCAGTTACTAGTAGTCGTCATAGTAACTAATTCTAATTGCTCCCAAGAAAAATTTATGAGCAAAATGTCCGAATGTATACCTTAGAAAGAATTTCATCGAGGAATCGTAGGAAGCCTTTTTTGTGATGTTCGGTATTGAACCAAGCCGAATGATAGAACAGGTTAAAAGGCGCCCGATTGCCTTTGTAATGTCTGTTGAAATTCTTCATGAGAACCTTGTGGACGCCGTCGTCATCAGGCGGATTCGAGCAGGCGTCACCCATTGAACAACGGCCTCCTCGAAGGTCGACCCACATCACCATGCCAACTTCCCAGACGCCTGGAAAACTTTTGCTGGGGCACGGAGTAATCATGCATTCGTGCGACATGGCATAATCCAATGTGTATGGCCAATAGGGAGGGTTATTTTCGAAGACAGGCATGGACGAATCGTAGGTGAAGTTGTATTCGTGAAGCATTTTGAACTGCTTGTTACCTCCAATTTGCAAAAAAGGGGCCCGCATGCCTCGAACGTCTTCGAGCTTCACGCCCCCATATAGATGGAGAATCTCACGCTGGCCAGCAACTTCCTTGAACCACTGCTGCTCGGAGAACTTTTCACCAAAGCTATGACTGTGAAAGCACGTTAATAAATCCAGGGATAGGTGTAATGTTAGTTTTGAGAAGTGATTATTATTAAAGATGTTCAATATGCCTGTGGGGGCGCCTGCGAAAATTCAATTGAAATATTCAAGAATTTGGGGACCGCACTCGTTCTATAGCGACTTACGTGACCGTATGCGAGGCCATCTCGTGGCCCTTCGAGTAGAGGTTCTGAACTTGGCCGTAATCAGTCCATTCGTGTGAAACATAGAATGTCCCCCGGATTGGACATCCATTCGGATTCTTACGGCCGCTATCGAAGATATCTCTGTAATGATCCTTGTTGAGGTCGTTCACGGCATCGTCGAACGTAAGCAGGACCACCTGAGGTACCTCCTTTGGTAATAATCCACCGGGAATCTCTGATCCAGCGCAGTTACAGTCGGGTAGGCGACAAGTATCTCGCGAGCACTTTGCTGCTGTTTCGTAAGGTACTGGCGTCGGGTAGACGTTTTGGGGACGGAAAGCCGGCCTAGACGTCGTCGGAGGACCAGGCGGCCTAGTAACAGGACGACGTACTCCGGTTCGACCAGAAGATGATTGCCGCTAATTTGTTGATTAAGTGTATTGTTTGAAAAAGACACTTGATATCTTAGTTGAAAATTGTCTTCAGTTATCAACAGATTCCTAGTCGCAGCTGAAACGGCTATAAATAAATAATTATAGTTTGTCAATAAAATAATTACTAAGTCATAGTCGAAAGTGTCAATTTATTCAGATGGTTAGATACTATGGAAAGCAGGATCAAAAGTGTAAAGCTGACACCCCGATAATAGGAAAACCTAAAAAAATATTAGAAGAAGCTCGCTGACTTCGTGATTAAGCTAGAGCTATCAATGAGTTTCTTTTAGAAGTATCTATTTATTGTATATGCGATTTAGGTTGGACACGTGGAAAGCTAACGACCTTTAAAACAAGGCAAAAAAAAAAGAGCGAATTTAAGAAAAATCTCTTCACAGTAGAGTATCTACCTCACGTTATGATGGCCGTGTCAAACCAAGCGGCTCATCCCACAGTGACATTTGTGAATATTTTTAAAGATAAGAAGGAAAACAACGAATGACAAAGAGTGGATCTTGACAGTCCTTGGCCAATTACTAACAGATAACTTGTAAGTGAAGTTCGTTAATTTCCTTTCTTTGATGTTTATTTACTTAACAGACTTCTCCTATGGCACCTGTCATTGAGGAGAATAGGCTAAAATCTGACGGTGTAGCGTTCTTTCATTGAGGAAGCTCACCGTCGATATGTTTAAATCTGGCTCGTTCAGTTTGTTGATTTCTTTGTTATAAACATCCACTATATTTGTTGTGGGCTGTTATGAATGATCGTATAGAAAGCTTGCAATTAATTTTCTATTTCTGATAGCAAAAATATTAGCTGAGACACACTTCCCGTTTTGTCTCGGGATAAACAAAGCGATTACATCTACTGCAATACATCCTTTCCTGCAGTTAATAGAAGTAGCAATAAAAATATTTTAAGTTTTACTATACATGCATACATACACCATCTTCTTGCTCACAGTCATGAAGTAGGCACCAAATTTCAGCTGTGGTATATATAAGAGGCTTCTGTCATTAAAAACTAGTTATGGTCTTATACACTATATTCTACTAAATATATGCAACTCTACCCTCTAAAGACCGCCAATTTCAAGCGCTAACTGTTAGCGTTATCTGGCGTTTACTACATAACACCCGCAGTTCATTTCTACCTCCATGGATCCTACAGCACATGAATGGCCTGAGCTTTATCCAACAAATACAAGATATATTCGTAACGGCATGTACTTACAGAGGGCGCAGATGTGCTAGTCTGCACGGGAGGCCGATATGGGCGGGTCGTTCTTCGCGTGGCCGGTCGTGGTGTTGTTGTCGTTGAGGTACTTGTTGGCGGGGGTGGCAAAGGTCGGTGCGTCGTCAAGGGGGGGTTATTACTCTGATAATCTTCGTATGAGCCATAGTCATCGTAATCCTCCTGATCGACGTCCTCCTCATGCGAGGTGTGATGTGAAGTCGGCGATGAATGTGACACTTGGGAGCTATGTAGTCCACCAAGCGATTGCACCGGTTGATTCGAGGGAGATGTCACTGCAACTGCTCGAACTGCGGGTGCAGTAACGACCTCAGGAAGCGCCTGCTCGACATCGATCATATACATTCAATAAATATGTCAAACAATGCTAGGCATGAAAAATGTTCCCGGGAAATTGACCACATGATCACAGCCATCCTATTACAAAAAATCAAAATAAACCCCCATTTAATCGTATGATTGTCGTATGTATATAGCAGAATAATGCAATGCAAAACAGATACTTATTACTCGAAAAAATTTTCAGAAAATGTCTTGGGATGCTTAGTCTGTGCGTTGTCTGTAAACGATGCTAGTAGTCAGTAGAGGGTGAGAACCCACGGGTGGCACGTAGCGGGGTGGAGGCGGTGGGGCTGGTGTGAACGTGTTGAAGTTGAAGTATCGCGTGTCCTGAACTCGGGATACAGGTGAGGACGTTACGACTTTAGGTGGCTCAGAAAGCCTGGGTGGAGCTCGCAGCAGATCGTTGGGGAAGTTGTACGAGGGTGTCTTAGGCTGCGGAGCGTAGTAGCGCTGGTTACGGTTCGTGTAAGTGTAGATCTGGCGCTGGGACGTCTGCAAGATGTCGATTTGTATCGTCATCATTAGAGGTGGATTCAATGAACAATGTAAAACCCATAAAGTGTTAGTAAAAAGAGTGACACCTGTATGCGACATTCTAACTATGCGACACGTGCTATGGCTTCTTGAATAAGTTGATATCTGTCCTGTGACCCAGGTACAGGTATATTGACCAGCATTCAATTAGTTACCGTAGGCCGCTAGAGAAAATACGCAACTAGCAAGTGTCAATAGCCTCTGTTAGAGGTGCTTAAACACGAAGGTTTTGCTCTAGACAAAACGATACGATATATGAGGAACAACCGTGTAAAGCAGTCGGGAGTACAACATAGCAATTTCACCTTAACATGGTGAAGTCGCTAAGGTTAGGATTAGAGTTGAAACACCAGCCATATAAACCAATATTACAAAGAGAAAAATCGTAGAGGTAGAGCAATCGTTACCTCGTATCTATATTATCACAAATCACTTTTATTCTAAATAAGCAAACGATAAACATCACATGCTACCAGTCTAATTCAAACCCATTTTACGAGAGTAAGACAGCTTACTTGTTCGTAATGGTCACCATAGCAACATTACATACAACTTAAGAAGCCATTTTCATAATGTTTGACACAGTTCCTTACCTGAGGCGGCTCATAAACCGCTAACTCTCTATAGCGGCCATCACGTGGGTAGCTAACAAGAACAATTTCTTTCGAGGGATTTTCCGCTTTGTCCGCATAGTAGATTGGCGGGCCGCCATCGTTCGAAATTTTCTTTTCGTACTGAAGGGGTCGAACAAACACACTCACGTCTTCTTGGTGATTGAGGTTACGCGCGCGGCCAGATCGGCCCGGTCCGGTAACGATTGGAGGTGAAATGATCTTATCAGGTCGACCTGATTTACGCCCGATTTTAGGCACGTAAAGCAAGATCACACGAATCCATAGTTTCGGCCGAATAAGAACAAATAAGTAGCAGTGAGTTTATGTCGACTATACTCTAATTGGTCATAACCTTAAATCTATTCGTGTCCGTCTGACGGATGTGTTCGAAGTTCGTGCATTTGTTTACTTCGTTACTTTTTAGCTGTGATTTATTGAAGCTGTATAAGCTACCTAACTGTTTTTTTGATTGATGTTTTAGTCAAGCAATTTAGTAACACGACTAATTATTTTTATTTAGCGTGGGTGATTTCTAATAAGTGAGGTCTTCAATTCAATTACGTATCATAAGCAGATGCACATTTAATAGGGCTTTGAAATTTGTTTACTCTGAGGATTGGCAATATTCATCTTCTCTAGTTAAGAACAGCAGTTTACTTAAGAAGATTTCCTAAAGAGCTTGATATATTTAAATTATAGTTAAATGGCGTATCATCTGTGCGCTTGTATCTTACGGTAGTAACAATGGATGCTTGGTACGGACGATTGTTGGTGCAAAAACTAATGCATGCGAACGTCTCGCTTAGGTTGATAGATGGTTAATGAAAAAAAAAAAATAAGACCATGACTGATAAAACATAAACTGGACGAAATCCAACCGGAAGCCATTGACACAGGACATAAAAACGGACGTATCCAGAGCACAGATCAGCTGGAATAGAAAAGAGACTCACGGGTAGCAATTTCCTCGTTGTCATGAACCTTTCCCAGCTTATAATAATTACCCTGTACACAGAGGACGCTTGAAACGAGCACAGTAATTGGAACTATAATGCAGTAACACACATGCCTGGTGCTGCTTTGTTCAGAACGCAGGACGCGAATCAGTGGATTGGCGGATCTCGATCAAGGAGAAGATAGACACTCAAATAATAATAGACCGGTTTACGCGACGAACGTTTGCGGCACAGCGAACGCTTAACACCACCCGGATTTCGGACGAACGTTATGTAGATTATTTTAGACGCCAAATATTAGGACATAGTTTAATCATCATTCAGACTTTAGGTATCGCTGGATACCATGCAGCACGTGACACACGACACGGGACATATACTTTAGCATTGGACAGCGACCTGCTCGAGGCCGATCGCTGCACGCATTTAGTCACTACACTTCGACCGATTTCAAGACTGTCGAACGCGTAGATAATGCTTTTGAGATGGGGGATGCAGTTGTATTCGTCTTTTTTACGTTGTGCTGCACGCTATTTTTACACGTGACGCAAAATCAAGCGAAGCGGTCAAACCCAGTCATTCAATTAGCTTAGTTTGCAATTTTTCTTTTTTTAGTACTGTTTTTTTGGAGTCAGTTTATCAGAAGTGTAGTGGCAGTTACGCGCATTGCGAAATCATCTTTTACTGCTGCTGTTGTTGTGGATATTACTGCTACAAGCGAGCGGGGCAATTCGAATAGTGGCGGTGCTGATGGATGTTGTTGTCGTCGACGAGACGGGAGAACACTCGTCCTATTTGTGGTCGCGAATCTCACCAGTCCCGAAGTCGTGGTACGGACCTAAGTAGGTGGCGCTGCCAAATCGCTTGTCGATGTCAATCCTTTGGTCTTTCTCGACGTCGAGCGAGCGGAGTCTCGCGGACGAGACCTTACTCCAACGCGGAGAGGTCAACTTGGAGGAGGAAGTAGTCCTCGAAGCGAGGCTGCTGCTACCGAAGGCTTTACCTGCGTCCGAGATGTGGATTCCGCCCTCTGAGTCGACGACGGGTGGCACAGCTTCATCGTATTCGGGTTGTTGCGGGTCGTACGCGTTCGACAGCGGCGGCGAAACCTCCTTGGCCGAGGAGCTGTTGCCAGAGATGATGTCCTCGTATAGCGATTGGAAGTCGCGAATGATCGAAGGCCGCAAAGTTGTTGACGGAGCCGATGTTGTCGAACCTAAAGGGTAGAAAATCAGAGTTGATCATAAAGTGATGAAAATAAAATATAGAAGGAATATAGAGCGATTTGAATTAAAAGCACCTATGTATAGCTATAGAAGGGAGCTCACCAATGGGTCTGGTTGAGGATTTCTTGTGAGTGCTTGTCAAGGAAAGGACAGCGCTCTCAGCCTTTTTGTCAATGGATGAACCTTCTTTTTTTTTCGATTCGGGGTTAGAATTGTTAGTAGTCAATGGATTATTTCCGGCTGTAGAGCATTGTACATTTCTTGGCCAGTCACAGGTCTGCAGCTCAACGCTGAAATATAGCCCGCCTGTACAGCTTTCGTGAAGCGGGTCTCCAAATACACAGACAAAGTACTTCGAGCAGTCAATTGTATCTGCATAATAGCCAAACTGCTCGGGGCATTTGAAGTCATCGATGGCCGAAGTAGTTGAGCTTGGCGAGGCTCCGGCCACAGCCCGAATGCATCCTGAAATGGGACATAAAGGACGTTAATTTCTGTTTTTTTCAATCATAAAATAATGTCTCTGTGTGTATGTATCGAAAGGCCACTTAGGTCTAAGAAAAAATATAATTAAAACGATAATGCACGCGGTTTAATTGTTTGGATTTTGCGTTAATTAATGCCAACTAGCCTCAATATTCCACAAAGCATATGCTTACATATTTTGTCTCATCAATCTACTAGGCTAGGATAGAGGTCCAGCGATAAAAAATGGGTCCTCCATCTGAAACAATTAGTCGCCAGTTAAGATTTGCATCTGCAATCCAACCCACATACAGAAGCTATGAAAATCCACACAAATGGCATCATGTCAGATTACGATCCTTGACATAATGTCCTACATCATTAGTTTTTTTCTGACGCAACTAACACGGTAGATGTGGGTTTTTTTTTAGAGTTGTAAGTCAGAATTTTACGTCGTGGCCTTCCCCACGTGGCCCCAGTTGGTGTTTATCTTCTATATCATTTCATCTGATGGTCAGCGTACATTCATTTGAAAACGTTCCGAGAACCAGTAGTTTCTAATATAAGCATGGGATCTAGTCTAATCAGCTTTCCGAGCGGATTACTTCGCTTGTTGCTACCTTTATTTTTATTAGTTGACTACGAAATCTACAAGACATCTTAAAAAGGCACCCTTCTTCTTATCTCGATTTGTCACAGCGTCACTATAAGTTGCCGTACAATTCCGATGCACACAAGGCCCGGATAGCGCAATTTCCCCAGATGAGACGGACACAACCTTTCCTGTTGCTATCACGCCTGTAGTTCAAGGTGTGACACGTCCCACGTATACAAAAATGATGAAATTGACCCATGATGTGACCTAATTGAGCAGAAGATTTTAATGGAGCTTCATTCCATCCCTGTCCACCACCGCTTTTTAGCGTCAATTAACTCCACTTATGCCTAGTAGAGACGTGTTCATGACATATCTCCGATGCTAGCACTTCTAAAAAGTGATCCAAAAGTGGATTTTTTTGTACTTTATGAGCAGCATAATCCCGCTGATAGCCTTCCTAGCTAGATAAAAATTAAAATACAAATCGCCTTGTTGCACAAATATGTACAAAAGTCGAACCACATTTACATCACTATTGCACTACATAGAACTTAAGTATGGGGTAGATTAAATCTAGCGAAGTGACCGCGTAGGACCCTCATTGTTTGATGCCGCAAAACCCCGTGCTTCACAGTACGTTTCCTCGCTCTACCAAGTCTGCAAGCTACTTTGTTCGGAGAATTTCCATAAAACGCTGCGTAAGCGCTCGGATTCACGATGCATGCCGTTTACGTATAAACCCATCTGGTCATTCTTCATACGACCTTCTTGTAATAACCAAACCCACCAGCAACACGTCTTGTATGACGATTATTCTCATAATTACTTATACTATTATATATTATTATGTTTGTGTATACTTATGGCACATAGCTGCTGTAAATAAACGAACCGCCCCAAATTTGTACTTCGGTTTAAGTCTAACACGGACACACATAACTTATATTATCTGTAATCTGCACACGTAGCGATGCTGCCAGCCGTCGATGCCTTGGTTTTTTGTCAATGAACCACACGCGCAAATACGATCCGCTATGTGAGGTACCGTACGATCACCACCACTCTGACAACTTCACCGTTATAAAGTTTTGTCTGCAGCGAAACTGGGACAAGCGTCACCCGCTCTAATGTTCCTCACATTACAGTTGGACAGCTTATATCTGTTCCGTATTAAGTCGATTTATTTCTGCAAGCGAACTTCACACGTACGAAATCACCACAACCCTGTTTTAGTTATTTGGCATCATTCAGCTTGTCTGAGGTTTGTTCACGGTTGACCACAGACCACATTTCCGCCAGTGGTAGCTACCTTTTGTAGTAATGGTGATGATAAGAAAAAGTCAAACGGGGCAGGCCCTACATAGTACCAGTGTCAAAACAGCGGTCAGAGCCGGCGTTATGGTGAGACGTCGCCGGTTTTCTGCCCTCTCTGCTTCATGACCACGACTAATCTCAAGAAACAAGCAGTGTTTCTTAACACACTTTTATCATCATCGGGATGATCTTATGTTGATCTATATTATCTCTCCGTATGCCAACATGTCACCACGATTCATTCCCTTGTAGCGTAAAGACACAAATCTGGACAATAACGGTACAACGACGAAATATCCTCCTTTCGAGCACATCGAAACATACAAGTATTATACAATGCAAAAACTAAAAAGAACTCCACACCCCAAAATATTTGTCGTTGAACCGGTATGAGCTGTCGTGACACATTAGTTCTGGCCAAACGGTGATTCTTGGTCGACAGCTGTACAAGATTTGATTTAGCGGGGGTGCGATACTATCCCCCCACGTCGTCAAGCCGTCGTTGTAGCTTTGCGACGCCTGTTTAACTTACTCGAACCGGAACCTTTCCGCCGGATGTTCCGACAGCGCGTTCGCTGATGCACACGCACCTCGACGCCTGCTATAATTATTAAGTTACGAAACAGTAGTATCGGTGGCGACTCCCTCTGGCAACACTCAGAAGCGCCATCCTTACTCCTCCTGCTACCTTTTAATTGTGCTTTACTTTAAAAGTGCTGCACATTTGAGCAACATCCTCCTTTTTATTGCGACAGTGCCCAGAATCCATTAGCACAGGCTGTGACACTATACATTGACTTGTGGAAAAAGTATTGACCGTCTTTCTAGCTAGATGGCTAGATGAGAATCCGATAATATAAGCCATGTTGGGTCGGCGTTAGTCTTGTTTCAAAGAAATTTCGTAGTACTACGTCGTTGCAGTGCCTTTATTCAAACTCAAGATAGAGCATCTTGAAGATGACTGAAATGTCTGCAGAAATTCGCTTGATTCCACAGTTCTATTACGATGAAGGCACAAACACTGCTCAGGCCCAGAGAAAAATTTTTCGACTAATTGTCGAAACGTATTATCGGAAGAAAAGGCCTAAAGGTAATTCTGTCGCTTTCGTTCCAAAAAAATTCTATCTGAGAGAAGTTCCTCGTAGTTGTAGACCAATTATGGAAATCGGTAACTTATTTCTGATACTGCCAAAAAAACTAAAATCATCAAATAGTTTCAAACACTTTGAAGGAAGTCGGCTATGAAAATACTCAATATTTGGATGTCACATAAATTTATGTAATATCCAATCGTGTTTCCATCTGCGAAACTTCACAGACTCCATTCGCGCGTAGTTGTTGCTAAAGCGGTCGATCATAGCTGATGAAAAGTGGGCCGCATGCCACAATAACGTGTAAAGAAAAAGTAACGTAGGAAAATATTGCTCTACAACTTGTTGCAACGCCCAGACTGACACCTGTGGTGATGCTACAAGCTTGATAGAATTTTTTTCTAGGATTTATGCATTATTGCCATTTTGTAAAGCGATATACCTCTAGCATTAGTAACTAACGAGATTTCAATAAGTCATTGAAGATATCAGTCGAAACTAGTAAACAGTAAAAACGGGCCATTTTTCACCATGACAACACCACGCCACGTATATTTTTAGCTACCGATCGGTAATTGAATGCATTCGCCATAGACCCCCCGATCTTTAATTTAAAAATAACTTCTCTTTGCACAATTTATCGTCCAGCTCGACAGTGATAGGATTACAGTATCAGCCCGAAAATGGTTGGGGTCGTCGATCAAAATATTACGCATATGGAGTTTAGTAATGTGATTTTAAAATATAAAAGGGTCGTTCCCTCAATTCTTGCTTAAAGGCTCTCTCTCTCTCTCTCTCTCTCTCTCCATATATATATATATATATATATATATATATATATATATATATATATATATATATATGTATATATCTCTCTCTCTCTCTCTCTCTCTCTCCATATATATATATATACACGAATACTGGCTGTTAAGGGAAGTGCTTCTGTTTCAGCAGGCGTATTTGCTTCTGCAATTGTATACAGTCCATGTGTGTGTGTGTGTTTATATGATATCTGCTCGTTCAAATTCGAGCTTTTTTTTTTTTCATTAATACCCTTTATGCGCTAAACTGATCGAATGTGAAAGTTAATAATTTTTCATTATAAAATCTCTTATCTATACGGTGCGCTATGCTTTGCTTTTCGTCTAATACGAACACCATGTTCCGATAACGGAAACTCTATACAAAAACTTAAATAGAGAATAGAACTTTGTGGAAAGAGCAGCTTGCGGTACGATTGAAGACGCTACAGAACTTAGCCATCCTGATATTAATAATATTAATATGAGCATATGGCGTCATTACCTAAAGTTTACGGCAGCAAAACATCATTCAGTCTCAATGCGGACTGAATAGTATTGATGATTTCGGTTGTTAAGAAGTTGGCTTTGCATTTTTCTTCGCTACGCTTTTGTTTGAGATCCGCCGGGTTGATACCATTCCGAAAAGCTAGATCTTAGCGATAGTTGTTAAAAAACGATAAAAAAAAAAAAAAGACTATCTTTGAAGATTGATTTTTTAGGAATAGGAAATGAGATTCAAACCGACATGCCAAACGAATGTTATCATTATTAGTATTATTATCGCAACAGCCGTTATCGGTCCGATTATTCGTAGATCCATCGATCGACCAGAACCTATACGAGGTTCCAAACAAAGCTTTCTTTACCGGTTGGTGACCAGCGGAACGCTAACAGGTTACCTTTCGACGTCTTAAACGCTGCTCTATTGTGTTCAATATCCACATCAACGATGAACTTTAAGAGGCAAAACACCCATTCTATTATTGCTGCTGGGACTGATACACGGCACGAAAGCACGCGCAGCCCGCGTACAGATGATATTACCAGTTTCAACGAAATCACCAAAAAGAACAGCTACACAGACTACGTTAGATAAAAACGGGAACTCTTCTTGTTACCGCGGCGTGCATGCTAATGTTCGTGTTTATATATCTATATATATATATATATATATATAGTATAGACAATAATTTA